CTAAATTTTGATCCCTGAAATTCTTGGTAATACCAATGTTCACTTTGTCTGGTTTTGTTGCAGCATGCCCCATATTATTATTTGTTATTATATATAATTTAAGAGTTTTTGGTTGCCAATTACCAAAAAATAAATGTAAAATTATATAGCTCTCTAGAGATTTTATAGCATATGGGCCATACATGCAGCCCAAAGTATTTTGACACTGTCATAAAGGGGTTACATATGTTGTAAAGGAATGTTACACTTATGTTTTTGCCATAATTAATTTCTACTTACTATCATCAAAATTGGAATAATTTTGACTATCGAAATCACCAAACCGATTTGGGCTTGCATGTATAATATGGACAAATTTTTAGAAGTGGCAGGTGTGGCTTGAACCCGTCCCCCGTCCTTTCATGTTTAGCCCATGAATACTAGAAAAAGACGGGCAATTAACAAGGAACGGGTTTGCTGCGCCATTACTGACTGTCCCTGATGTTTTCTTAATATAATAATACAAAATGAAAAGGATGAGGACGGGTTCAAGCCACACGTACCCGTTTCCTGTCCTTTTCATGTATCCGATTATATTATATATTTTAATTAGCTTATTTATTATCTATTATGATTTGTGTTCATTATTTTGATTTTACATAAGTTTTAGCCACAATTGTATAATAAAAAAATAAAAATCAAGACTTTAGATAAGGAACAAATAGAGACGGGAAATTATAATTTTGCAGCCAGTTTACTAAAAATTATATTATGACAAACACTTTTCGTCTGTCCATTTCATGGTTTGCTCACAAATAATAAAAGGAGCAGTGGGACGAGTGGTAATGGCACAGTAACACGTCCTTTTTTTCACCCGTTCTTTTCAAGATTTGCCCATGAATAATAGAAAAGGACAGGGGACATGTTTCTGCGCCTTCACCACGCCACATCTGTTACCGTCCTTTTTTACATTATTTTGCAGAATACCCGTACCATCATCACCCGTCCATTTCTAACATAATGGACCAAACTTGAAAAAAGGACGGGGGACGGGTTCAAGCGACACCTGTCCGTCCCCGTCCTTTTCCAGCATCCCATAATTAATGGATCAGCATATATATTAAACAGTAAATATAATATTATTTTATTATCTTATTATAATATTCAATTAATATTCTCTTTTTCAGAAAAAAAGCCCGTCTACGATTGGACAATCTATCTGATAGTGAACATTATGCGACAATCAAGGAAAGCATTATTTTATCAGATTAGTTATATTAAGAATTAATTAGTGCTTTTATTACTCCTTTCAGAAACACTAATTCTTTAATTAAACAATCTATCTGGTGCTTGTTACGCGATCATCAAAGAAAAAAATTCTTATAGAACATTATTTTACCATCATTACCAACAAAGAGATCGAACAAATATTTTCATCTAGTGATGGTATTTAACCTTTTAAACATATAAAATATGCACATGGACTGCTTTGAACTATATGATTTTTTAATAATAATTCGATTGGAGTAACATGTCAAATTTTATTATTATTATTATTTTTTTAGGGAATTGTTATTCGCACCCCTCCCATGACTAAGACAAAGATGAACCAATAAAATCATCACATTTTAAAGCCATTCATTGGTCACATTACTACACTTAGTCACAGGATGGATGCAAAAATGGGAGGCGCGAATAATAATTCTCTTTTTTTTTATTGGTTGAAATTTGTTAAATGTTGGTCACTAAAATTTTGGGGATGTGTGGAATCAGCCCCTCTTATTTTATTTTCGTCGATCATTATATAAAATCACATGACTACACTCTGCCCTTGATTTTTTTTTTCAATCTTTTAAATTTGATACGAGAATAGATATGTTCTTTTAAAAAAGTAAGCTTAAATAATTATTTCTATATAGTATCATGATGATGACAATTTTAGTAAAGTTGGGAATCTCTCTGAAAATAAAAAAAAACAGATGATAATTTTACTTCTGAATGATAAAAAAATAAAATTATTTAATTCTACAAAAAAAAAAAAAATAATTGTTAATTTTTTTTCTTTTTTTTTTAAAAAATAGATTGGATCCATAGAAATAAGGGCAATAAATTAAAACATTAAGTTTTCTTTATTTGTTTTTATTATTACCCACCCCCTCTATTTTCTCTAAAAAATTTCCGATTTATAATAATAATTAATGTATGTAATTTTTGTTTGTACAGATAATGTATACAAATGATATTGGTTAGCAGTCTATATTAAAAAAAATAGATAAATGTATATAAAATAAATATTATTAAATATGATGTTAATATAATCTACAATCTATCTCATCCATCTCCTATAAGTAAAATAAAATTATTATAAATTTGGTTGTTTATCTTTCATAATATCACAGGTTTTAATGGCAGTTTTTTCATCTTTCATTTGTAACATATAAATAGCTCTATTGGTAGCGTTGTTAGTACTATTTATAGTGATGGCCACACCGGCCTTACCAACCCTCTCTACACCACCTTCCCAAATAATTGAATCAATTAATTTTGTTTTTTGTTTATCCGAGTTCACAACAATTCTTTTACGATATGATGGCATTTCCAATGATATTTTCATCTGTCCCCAACCAAGGTTCGTCCATACACCATGATCGTTTTGTAAAAATAGACGACATTTTGATTCCATCACTTGTGAAACTTGTTGTTCTGATTCACGTACCTTTTGTTGTCGATCTACCACAACAGATGTTGTTCTTGTAGCTATACCTTGTAATGATGATGATCGTGACATAAATCCTTGATTTGTCTGATTCATCACTGGACTTAATTCTTTATCATATTGTTTTACTTTCATTAAACTTGAATGAAATAGTATTGCATCAGTCGTACTAGAAAATTTGATACGATAAAATTCATTTTTCTGTGCAGTTTCACATGAAATGTTAATGCATGTTGGATTTTCTTGATGTATTCTTGTATTTGCATGAATCCATGCATTAAGTACCATTTTGCTCGATTTTGGCAATATGATAGCCCAACATCCTTTATTTGAAGTAGTTAGTCTTACTTCCACTATACAATTATCTTTTTTAGTTAAAGGTTTCCAATCATTATCATGCCAAGATTCTACTTCACATATCGGTGATTGGTAAATCGTTTCTTTGAATGCAGAAATACTCATCACGGAAGATAAAGAAGTTATTGAGTTGGAACGTCGACGAGTGTAACTTGATGACAATGATGAAGATCTTGATGGCGATGCAGATATTGCTCTTGACGTTGATTGATATTTTATATAATCGTAATCTTTTGGTGGCGTTTTTGGTGGCGTCGAAAGCAATGATGGTGTGCGTGATGATAAACCAGCTTCCACATTATCATTTGATGAAGGTTTATTAGAATTTAATGACAAAATGTCAGCACTTGGACTTTTTCTTAAAACACTTGCTGACAATGATGAATTATGAAGTTGTGGGTTGCTTCCAACTTTCCGTAGATTATTATTTAAGACTAGAGGTTTTATCACAGTCGCTGTAAACATAAAATGGAAAAAAATTTTTAGCACATTTTATAATTTTGACCAATCAAATCGGATACGAAGAATGATACCTTTATTAACAAACATTATAGCACCAGCTATTATTTGGCACAAAGTTTTATGATTTTCTGTATTATTGGAATAAATAACGAAACTTCCTCTTTCAGGTACCGTGATCTCAAGCATATCTTTAAAAGAAAGAAATATAATAATAATAACAAGTATAAATAAACTAAATTTATTTAAAAAATTTTTTTTCGTATTGTCTTAACTAACCTCCTTGATCATCACTTAGGTCTTTAATCATTAAATTTCTAAGACTTATTGGAGCAAACAATAAGCAATATGCAAAATTTGGATATTTTGCTTTATCCTCATCCTCGTTAATTTGGCAAATTAATATGAGATCTGTCAATATAAACAAATGTACTTCTAAAAGAGTTTTTTTAGGTTTCTTATATTCATCAAAATCGGGTATTTCAATAACAATATCATGATGTAATAAAATTTGTCGATTAAATGGTAGATTTGGTGGAAGCAATACTAGTTTTGCATTCTATTAATAAAAATAACCAAAGAATTTTTTAAAAATAAAAAAAAATCCAATCAATCATTAATTGAAAAATTTTTTTTAATCAATATTGTTACCTTTAGTTGCTTTGTAAATAAATCTATAGCTTTAGAATTATCAATAATTGTTTCTAAATTATTTATGGTGATTTCAAAATTAGTTTGATTTAATGAACTTGAAAAATCTTCGATTTTCACATCAATTGGTGATTTGACAGGTGACGCATTTGAGTTTAAATCATCTTGTTCAAATGTAGCAGATAATGGAGTTGTGGTAGTAGATTGACTGGGCGCAGAAGACCCAGAAGAATAAGTAGATGTCGTTGTTGATGTAGTAAATACACTAGATACACTGGACGAGGTTGTGCTAGATGGTGTAGTTGATGGTGTAATGGAAGTAATAAATGTATTAGGTGTACTAGGTGTATTAGGTGTACTAGGTGTATTAGGTGTAGTATCATTATTAATGCTATTAGTAAACAGATTAGTTATTGGTGTAATAGGTGTAGTTGTTAATGATGTATTATTAGAAGTTGGTGAAAGTGGTGATGAGTCGGTAGGAGTAGTAGTAATTTCTTTAATATCTGTTGATGTTGTATTTGATGTTACGACTGTTGATTGAAATTCAGCTTTTTTATTAGATTCTAATATTGGTACATTAGTATTGATTGTAATTGGTGTTTTTTCTATCAATTTAATTATGTCATCAATGCGTTTATTTGCATTTTCTAAAGGATCATGATCAGATTTTTCAGGATCAGTACTTTTTAAAAGTCTCTAAAAAAATTTTTTTAAAATAAGTTAATAAAATTTTTTAATATAAAAAAATTTTTTTTAAACTAGAAATTACACAAACCAAATAAAATTTTTTATAATAATATAGTCGATAAATTGGCATTTCAAATAAACAATCTAAGGAAACTAGTTGATTCCTTTGTATTGACATATCCTAAAGAAGAATTTTTTTTTGTTTTAAAATTAAAATTCATTTAAATTTGATTGATTGATTGATTGATAAATTCTTACATTTAAAGTTTGTTGAAGATTCGTGTTTTCTTTTATTTCAGGCCATTGATCAAATCCTCCTTTATAATTTTTACAAAAATTTGTATAGGGTTTTTCCATATCATTTACCTAAATACATATTGTATAATTTTTATGATCTAGGCAATAAAAAAGAAAAGAAGGTTTTATAATAAACATTATTTATTTACCCATGTCATAAGTATATCACCTAATTCTTTATTAGGGTTTACACCAATTTTAACAAGTTTCTAAATCAAAAATTAGATTGTAAGAAAAGTTAATAGTTAACATACATTTCTTTTTTTTTTTAGAGTAAAAGGTTTCTCTTCAAACTTTACCGTGCAAAATTTTCTATTTCGTTTATAAATGCCTTCAATTAAACGAAACATTCTATCTATTTCTGTTGGCGGTAAATTGTCAATGTCCCAGCAGGATGTTACGCGCTAATAATAAATAGGTTTGAGTAATGTTTAAAAATTTTTTTGGATGTTTTGTTTTTAGTGACTAACCTGTAATATAGTTTTCAAATCTGATACATAAACCTTTTCACTTTCTATTAGATCTGATAATGCATTGACCCTTGGTCTACCAGTAGTTTGTGAAGCGGAAGGGAATGGTTTCGAGTCGGATGGACTTGTAGGTGGCGAGTATAGTGGTGAAAAAGGAATTGAAGGCTAAAATAAATAAAGATAAATGAGTAATGAATTAATTGACAACAACAAATAATTAATGTTATTAGTCTTACAATGTCTCCTTTGACATCTTGTGATTGTTCTATGGTTTCCATGGTTTGTTTTTGGAAGGGAGAGAAAGACTTATTATATATATATATATATATATTATAAAGATAAAGTTGTCCTATCTTGCGGGCAGGGGGTAAATTATTTTATTAATATTTAATTTTTAATTTTATATTTATTATGTTTATTAAATTTAATTATCGTGTAACATTAATACAAAGATTTAAAAATAAAAAATATCTGATTGACGAAAAAATTTCTAACGTAGAAAATCTTTCAATTAATCTTTGTATTACAAATAATCAACAATAAATCACATGTTATTTTAAGATAAAATGATTGATTGATTTTTTTTCTATTGTAGAATTAGTGAGTGGCTAGTGACGTGGCTAGTGAAGAGGACCATGATCGTCGTATTTTTTAATTGGTGTTTAGAAAAATGTTCTAATTTCGCGTTTTTTTACGATGTTTTGTATGTGTTGGATGATTATTTTTTTCGTCGTCTAGTAATTATGTTGACGGTGTTAATAATGTTGCGTGATAGGATGGTTTTTCTAAGAAAATTTTTTCTTCTTCATTTTTCCGTTTCATGAGTAATGTCATAACATAGTATATATGAAATACTAAAAGAGGGTTCTATTTGAAAAATCATATATAAATTACACGAGTTACTGAAAATCTCAACAACAAAATTTGTTTGTGAGAAAAGAAAAGTCGCGAATTATGAGAATGGAAGCAGATGAAAAAAATCATGCTTAAAATAATAAATATATGTGATTTATCAACAACAACACCATTACAATTAGAAGGTGCAATGCAAAAAACATTCGCAAAGAAAATATGGCAACGATGCATATTTTACAAAATCCAAGAAAAAGATTTTGGGAAAAGTTTGATGAAACATTTTGTTATTAATTGTGTTCTAAAGACTTGGAAAAAAGATTTTGGGAAAAGTTTGATGAAATATTTTGTCACTAATTGTGTCTAAAGATTAGAAAAAAGATATTACTATTATTACTGTTATTATGTTGAAATAAGAATTTTTTATTCAACCTTTCAACGTTTTTGATTTCGACTTTTTCTCCATCTTTTTATTTCTTCTGGTTCTTCTTATTCGAATTAATCAATTGGCGTGTTGAAGCATTTGTGAATATAATTGTCAACAATCATTAATATTAATTGGATTATTCAAGAGTCTAAAATTAGGCTCTTTCTTTTTTTTTTTTTTTTACTATTGTCGTCATTTAATTTACCATTATTTTTTTTTTCTTCACATGTAAAAATTTAATTTTGTGTAAAAATCTTGTTTTTTAATTTTGATTTTAAATTAAAAAATATAAATTAAAATCTAAATTTCATGGGGGCAACATCAATTATTATCTTTATGAAATTTACAAATTTCATTCATCATCTCCATGAATTTCTTTTTTCGCTTTCTGTTAGGTCCCCGAGGAAACGATTAATGGATGTTTATTTGGGATTTAAATGATTTGAACGGATTTGATTGATTTGATTGATTGATTGATTGATTGATTGATTTGATTGATTTGATGAATGAATGGATTGATTGATGAATAGAGATTGACGAATGAATTTTAATTGTTTCTATTATGATGTAATTTCAAAAGATAAACTGACAAAGAAATTATTTTATCGTTCGTTATTATATCTATACATAGTAATTATATATATATATATATATCTAGATATTTCCGTATATGTTTAATAGGCGATGGATAAATAAATCTTATCAAAGAATATTGTATCAGAATGCTGTGACCACGTACGTAAATTTCAATGATTATTGTTCTAAACATATTGTTATATGATAAGAATTTATTAAACATGTAAAGTAAATTTGAACTACTTCAAGTTTGTCAATGAAAAGTCCAAAGTTCTTTAGATATAATTGGTAGTTTTATTTAAAAAGTTTTTTCGAGAGAAAATTGAATCATGTTAAAATCACCCAGGGTCACCGAGTTATACGAACGGGGTACAAATAAAATTTATTTTTAAGTCGTATAATCATCATTATGCCGCAATAATACTAAGCATTTAAAATTATTTCTTTGTTAAATACATGCTTTGTTTCGTATATCTAAAAAATAGTAATGCTAATGAGAATAAAAAAGAAACAAATCTAAAAAAAATATCTTTTTTAAATCTGCTACAAAATGGTTCCTGATTCCTTGACGCATTTCATTGGATAAGATAAATTATCTTTAGTTTACAGTTATGTTACAACTTATAAAGCATAACTTTTCATCATCCTTATCATCTTTATATTATATCATTAAATTTTAGTTTTTTATTTTTAAAACCCATTATCACCAACAGTGGCTACGAGCAATTAATGAGAAGATCGTCAACTTTCACAAGAAGTTCACGGTATGTTGGTAGAAGAAGTCTTCGTGGTCGACAATTGTTCTCAACAGTTTTTTAAATAGTCTCATGAAAAATAAGTTTGTACGATTCTGTTGTCTCAATATACCGTCCATTGCTATTGTTTGCAGGTATGAGCTTTGTTATATAATGACGTTAATCAATATGAATAAAATGATGCAAGCAAGTCGTAGGATAGCTATAGAAAGAGTTATTTTAACTGAATGTAAGAAGTCAACAATATCTAACTCGCTATCATATCTAGTACATTTGCAAAAATTTATGATTTACAATATGAGCGATGCTTTGATTTCTCGAACAGTTATATAGGTACTTGTTGCGTTGTTGAGTACCGGTAATTTTTTAATATAAATTCTGTGATTAACGTATTTTTTGTCTTTTGGAAAAACATATATATCTCTCATTACTTTAGGTGTTTTCAAATCTCACTTGAGGTACAATTTGGCAGTTATTTCCATATATTGAGGAAATAACTACACCATTCCAATTTCTTGAACAAGTATTATGTAGAAACAACGGCTGAAGAGATAGGATAGTAAGTACCCAAAAGAAATCAAACAATTTGCAGTCATTTGATCGTGCAATAATATTATATCTTTTGAATAATCTATTTTTCATCCACGAAGGCTCGCACATTGGTTTTTTTCAATAAGTGATATATTTTGACCTGAATTCCATTTATTTTTATTTTTATTTCTTTATCTAATTGCAGAATTAACCTGAATGTTTAAATTATTTTATACTGTGATGACAAAGCTGTTTGTTTAAAGAACTAGTTAAGAAATATTCAGAGGGAAAATCAGTGCCACGTAAGGTATCAGAAAATACTATAGAGAAGATGCTTTTCTCTTATCAAATCGTTTCTACAAAGCTCAATTGTCACATCTTCCTTATGTATTGAGGAATGAAACGAGTTCATACTATTATTATTTCACACTGCTATTCATTTATGACATTATCGAAATGAGTTCATTAATCACAATTTTAACAAGTCTCTTGTCTAAGTATTTGCTCGAATGTCCTTTTTAAACAGTCTCTTGAAAATTATTAATAATATTATTTAATAGGGATTCATCTGTCCATGGTATTTTAAATCATTCAAAATTGTTCAAGAGCCAACATCTTTTTACAATATTTTCTTTCTTTTGTTCAACGTCCATAGTAGTTGAAGTAAAGGTTAAACGATGAAGATGATATTTGACTTCAATAATACCATAAATATTTTACATGGAATAATTCTTCAGGTTTCAACTATTTTGCGGCATTTTAGGTTATTCAAAACGACCAAAAATTTACAGATCTAAATATTTCGATTGAAGTCAAATAAAATAAAATATAAATGCAAGTTTTGTTTTGTTTTTTTATTTAAACAAAACTTATTGCTATTGTTGATTTTTTTAGTATAAACTAATCTAATTGATATTCTGATCGTCGTTTTTACTGTCAAATTGGGATAGTTAGATACTTCCGAATACACTTGACAGAATTCTTTTTTTTGTTTCCTAAAGTTCCATACAACACTTTCTTGAACCATTTCTAAAGATATGGATTAAAGACTCTGAGCACATTTTTTCATAAAAATTGCCAAGGTAAACGCAAATGTTTTTTTTTTTTGACGGCAGCACACATCAAATGATTGACAAATAGGCGTAATAATTTTTTTGGATCTATTACTATCATTAATTAAAAAAAAAACTCTGGAAAAAAAAAATAATATGATTAATTAAACGGTCAATTGGTTGTTATAATAATGATATAATAATATAGTGTGTTAAATTGAATTTTTTTTAGTCAAGGAATAAATAACAAATAAATAAATAAACAAATTTTTCAACAATCTTTTTATTTCTTCCTCATAAAATTAAATTTATAAATTTTCTTTCTTGGCCATGCCATTATTATTATTAAATTCATCGTATACAATAATGCTAATGATCGTTTTTATGTTATTAATGATCGTGAATGGTAAAAATCAATTCTCCTTGTTTATTAAAGATATTTTAACAAAATAAATATTATTTTTAAATATTATTTATTTTTATTTAAGCTTCAAAGTTGCCAAAAGAAGAATTGTCAGATTTGCTAAATCCCAATCAAAAAATTGTTTATATAACAGTGACCAACTATGTAACAAGATATGTTTCATTGACTCTACAAGAATCAACAAGTTTACCGTCATCACAATCTAAGCAAGTTCTTCCTTCTTCTTTTACAGCAAATCAAGCAACCCTATTCACTTCACCACTCATAGAATCACCATCATCATCGTCATCACCGCAGTCTCCTACGACCATAGTATCAGAAATTATTACACCAACGATAACAAATAGCCACGTACAAAAATTTGCCGATTCCGTTGTTCCTGTCGAATATACTACTTCTAATGTTGACTTCTTTACATTTTCCACTCCAACATCTTCAACTATCGACTACATTTCTACTTCTGGTACTGCTACACCTACTGGTACCACTACCGACACCAACACTCATCTTTCAATAACCACCGATCAAAATAATCCTCATACAACTTTGAGTGAAAATCAATTAAAATCGATAATAGTCGGCAAGAAATACAGCTCGACTTTAACTTCATCAAAAGTAAAAGCAACATCGATACAAGCAACAACAACAACTAGTTCGAGTGTAAAGAAACTATTAGATTTAAACGAGGTTTTAATTGTTTGGTGCTTATTTTTGAATTTTATTTTTATTTTTCCATTGTTAACAATTATTAATTGATAATGAATGAAAAAAAAATATATAATTTTTTTCTTCTATCCCAATCAAATTTACTATTAATATAATAATTGGTTAAATAAAAAATTAAAAAAAATAATAAATGACCAATTGTTTATGGAATTTTTAATATTTTAACTTTTAAAATAAGATTCAATGGCTTCGCTGATCAGGACATATACTGTATAATCTGCTATATAAAATCTTCGCATCGTCATCTGCAATAAAAAAATCGATGATGATCACTGATCGATCATTTCATACCAATGATGTTTTAATTTCTAATGCAGGTAAGCTGTGTGAAACAAATCTTGATGATATATCGTGCAACACTCACAATGTATACAATGTATACAATGTATACACTGTACAAACAAAAAAGAAATATAAACTAAACTAACTTTTAAGCTTTATATAATATGTATATAAATGTTCTTTTGTGGTTAGCATGTTTATTCGATTTCCTGATTCCTGAGGTCTAGGATTATTTCCACGATGATGATTGATTCTCTTTCAAACAATATTTTGACAACAATAAATTATTTAGAAAGGAAAATTCTATTATGTTGTGTTTATTATTATGCAAAAACAAATTTTTAATTTAATTTAGTAACATAAGATTACTATAAAAGCCACATATATAAATATAGATATTTTGTTTCTACGTTTATTACTATTATTATCATGATGATATGACTTTATTTGTACATTGATTTACTGATTGACTAACAGAATGAACAAATGGATCAATAAATTTCTTGTTCGTTGTTATTGCTTCAAAGACAACGACAAAACATGGAAAATAGGAAGGAGAATTTTCCAAAAAGATGAATAAATATTGATAATATTTATATTTGTGTACTAGTATCTATCGTATTGTGTAAATGACAAATTTTGTACAATGCCCGCAATGCCCGGGTGTAACGTCATACATTAATATATTTTTGTAGATAGTTTCTAAATTTGTAATATGGCTTCTAAATTTGTACTAGTTACACGGCGAATCTTGGGAGCCGCAAATTACATAATTATGCATTTTAAATAATTGATCTTCCCAATATTATTATTAAAGCCTTCTATATAACATCAAACATCTTTGATGCTTGTGTTATTTTGACTTTTGCTAATGATAAAAATTGTGGGCGCGTACGCGTGCGCGCAGTATACCACCCACCACTTAACAAGGCGAAAAAGTCAACAATTCCCTCCCTCGTCTTTAAATTATATAATCCACGGCACGTTCCTGAGAATCAACATAATGTACTACATTTTCCTTTAAACCTAGGTTTATCCGCACAAGTCCGAGATTTTTCCGCATTATTCTTTACCAACCAATTTATTTATTAATATTTATTTAATAACAACAATTATTAAACATCATTCATCAGTTGGTTACTCCAACCAATAAATTTATTTTTATTTAGCGGAAAAACTAAATTTATATATTTATTAAAAATTTTTTTTTCTTTTTTTTCAATTTCAAAAAAAAATTTTTTTTTTCCAATTTCACAAAAAATACTATATATTTTTTTTAAAATAAATAGATATAAAATATAATATGGCAAGAAAGAAATTAACAACTCGTTTAAAGGTTACAACAGCTTGTGGAAATTGTCAAAAACGTAAGATTAAATGTTCTGGAGAAACGCCTTGTAGTTATTGTGTTAAAATAAATAAACCATGTTTACCTGGTAAGCCTGGTAAAAAACGTGGTCCTCCTCCTGGCACTGAAGTCAATAAAAACCGTAAAAAGTTTATTAATACAAGTTTCTCTCAATTCAACAATTCTTATCATTATCAACAACGTCATGTTGTTAATTATTCTCCTGATTGTGGTCAAGATTATGATGACATTAATATTAATAATAGTCTTGACTCCAATCCAAATGATCTTTATGATCAACATCATCACATTTTTCAATTTAACCAAGTCAGAAACAACAATATTACTTCGACTAATAATAACGCTAATTTTATTAATAATGCTAATGCTACTAAGGACAACAATGAACCTTTTCAATCAAGATTGCATGTAAATAATTATTCTACTTATGAACAATGTATGCGCTTTTTTTTATGACGATCATTTTCATTTATCATCATCTATTTCTACTTTTAACTAATTTTTTTATATTAATATAATTTAGATCCACGTGATTGCTTAATTTCACCAAATTCAGATGAAAACACAGAAAATATAACAAGAAAGATAATTGTTAGAAATAATAATGATATCCCTTTAATCAAACCAATCCCAATTTATCCACAGTCAAACACAAGTACTGTTATTGTCAACAGTTGCCCAAACAATTCGTTATTAGAGGAAGAAAAACAATCAGATGAAATTGAAAAAGATTCGTCGTCGATATTTAAAAAATCAGAATCATCAACAACAAATGAAAAATCACCAATATCTGGTTCTAATAATCGTAATAGTGATAATCAACAATCAAGAATTTCAATCATGTCTTTGCTTAATATTCCAACTATTGAAAAAACTCCATTATTAACAAGATCATCATCATTATCATCATCCATCTCTTCTTCTTCACTTATAGATAAAAAGAGTTCGTGATTGTTAAAAAATCAATCTTTGAAGATTTAGAATCTTCGTCACGTGAAACTATAGTGCTATCTTTTTTATCATAATAAGGATAATAAGGACGGAAAAAGTTAAAATTGCCTAATTTGGAACATTAATAACTCTGGACAAATGTAAATGCAAGGGGATCTGAAAGTCAATAAAACCTCAATACAATTAATTACGTAATATAAAAAAAATTTTATATTTATGTGTTCGAATTTAAAATAGATTGTAATATTTATGTATATTATTAATATATATAGTTTTTATGGTATTTTCATCAATGAATTTAAAATCACTCACTGTCCCTAGATAAAAAATTGATCTACATAATTTTTATTGGTTCTTGCCGATTCATTCCGTTGTTAAACACCTTTACGAAAAAATTCTTGTAATTACTAGTAGAAACAGATAGATAATAAAAGACTTGTATTTTAATAATCCCAAAGACTTCAAAAAGTAAAAGAGAGCCAAAAAAAGAATTTCGTTAGAAACCTTATTCCTTCTTGTAACTTTATACAAAATTTCTTATTAATAATTTAAATAATATCCATATATAGATAGGAAGAATAAATAGAATAAACTTCAAAATCAACTAAAATCTTCTCACAGTAAGCTCTTGGTTGAAAACATATCAGAGTATTTGGTTAGCTACAAAATTTCTTATTAATAGTAGTGTCAGACAATTGCCTATCAATGGATATGCCCCTAAGTTTGTTTTTATCTAAATTTACATTTACTTATTTATATTAAATTTATTAAATTTATATTTATTGTTGTTTTATGAATTATTATAAATATTGTATGTGTATATATTCAATGAGTAAAGTGAATAATTTAGTTATGATCAGAGACCATACATAATATTAATCAATTATTTTGGATTAAATGAGATATCAATTATATCAATAAATACTGCAACAAAAACGGAGATTTGTATCACCAAGGATTTTCAGGTTTAAAAATCACCATTGTACTATTAGCATGATATTTTTTTTATAATGCTCCATCTGTTATCTTTGTTTTTTTTTTAGAACTACTTCTGTATATGTTGTACGCGAAAATGAAATCTATGTGAATTTGCAATTCACGTATGCGTGCGAAATTCAAATTAGCCAATCGGAATTTCACATCCAAACACCCAAAATTTTACCATATATAAAAAGATAATGAAACCGATTTACACCAGATCTTGCTTTGTAATAAATAATTATGGAAGTATAACGGAATTTCTTTATGATTGGTCAATAATTATTGACAAAATTAATTGAGTTTATTGGTCAGATTTTATTGGACAAAATATATTTTTATTTTTATCATCGTGTATAATAATAACTGTATAATGTGAACAGAATTAAAAAAATTCAATACTAACACACAGAGAGAGAATAATTTTTAACATTCCCATTATTATTTCGTTCTTATTCTCATGATATGCTTTTAATGTTTGAGGCAATTAATTATGTTTAAAATTAAATCTTTAAAAGAAATTTTCTATTTTGATGAATTGATATAATAAATGTTTAGCAATATGTCCATCTACACGATGATGAAATTTAAAAACAAATAATAAAAATAAATTTTTTTTTGTTTATATAACATTGTTATAATTATTTTAAATTTTTGTACAAAAGTTGTAATAATTAAAGTTATTATTATTTATTTATTTTTCACGAATTCTTGACATATTATGTTATATATATTATATAAGTAAGCAATACTAATTACATATCTATTGAACAAAAACAAGTATTATTAATAATAAGTAAATATTTAAAATGATAAAAATGACATGTTGCAAATAGTCTCATATTATACCAAAAAAAAAAAAGAGTCTATACAGGTTCACGTATTCCGTACATCTGCGCATCTGTAGTAAATCATGCTCTGTATGGAACAAAAATATAGAATTGAAGATCGTACAGACTGGCCCCCGCCAATCAACTTTTCAGAATTCACAAATTTCCGTTCCGTACAAAATTAAAAAATAAAAATAAAAAATGTACGGAACAAATAGTGTACGGAATCTCTACTGACCGAAAAAAAAGTTAGCTTTTAAGTTCAATTCTTAAATTTTTTCGTAAAAATTGAATTTATAAATGATATTTTAATCAACTTATCTGTAATACTATCAGTTCCTTGCTGTAACTTATCATATGACGAACTTATTTTTATAGGATGACTATTGTAAATCATATATTACTAGCGATTTTGTACGTCCTTGTGTCTGTCTGGTATTTGTTTTTTTTAAAATTATTAATATTAATGTTATAAAAATAAATTTGTTTTTATTTTAAATGTCAGTTTATTTATTATTAATGTGTTATATATTTTGTGTAGTTAAATAATTACAGTGATATTTTTGTTATTATAATATAAAATTTGCATTGTGAATATTTTTTCTTTATCTATTGTACTATAGTCTTAAAGCCTCCTTATATACAATGTTTTTTGTATAAATTCCGACCTGTTCTGTTATTTACCAATGCATTGAGATTACATGCTTTATGTACTCTTGACATAGTCACATATAATTGTCCATGAGAGAAAATGGGCCATGGAAGATATAGGTCAACATAGGGTAGCATTTGACCTTGAGATTTGTTGATAGTCAAGGCAAATGCTGGCCATACAGGGAATTGCTTTCTTTTTAGAACAAAAGGTAATCTGGTATCTTCTGTTGACATAAGGAGAATTCTAGGGATAAATACACATTTACCTTGATGGTTTTCTGTTATTATTTCGGTGTCAATTATCCAGGATTGGAATTGCTGACAGATAAGTCTTGTTCTGTTGCAAAGTCTGTTGACCAGATCTAGGTTTCTAAATAACATGATAGGAGCATTGACTTTCAGAGTGAGTTCATGTGGAGGGAGACCTTGAGATGTTATGGAATTAAGATATTCAATTGGGTATAGATTTGTTTTGTCTTCTGGTGTTGAATCAAAGCTATAATATGTATATTGTTCTCCAGGATATTTGGCCATAATTCGCCCATTGATTTCATCAACATCATTGTTTAATGGGGTTAGTTTTGCTCTTTCCATTATAAAAGTAATGTTCATAGAATTTTCAATGAGATTAGGATAAACAGTATCTATTAGCAGATCAATGGGATCTTTGCCATTTTGTGGATGAACAATCATTTCATCAGAGAGTCAAATTAGATTGTTTTCAATTGTAGGCTCTGTTCCATTACCTATCCTAAGGAGGTATTCTGCAAATTTTTTTGGCAGTTTGGGCAACTCATATGTTATTAGTTAATGAGAAGGTATGAACATGGTGCCATAAATAGGATTTATTGAGAGCAGCATTGACTATTTGGACTCTAGTAACATTAATATTAATAATTTTAAAAAACCAAATACAGACAGACACAAGGATGTACAAAATCACTAGTAATTTTTTTAAATTTTTTTTTTATATATTTAATATATTAATTGTTTTAAATTTATATAATAATAAAATGGTTTTCAATATTATTAACAAAGAAATAAAAATCATTACAAAAAGGTGCGCACATTAAATAATTTTATTTGGTTTATTCTATTAAATAAAACACTAAAACAGTGAATGTATCATACTAATAAACTTTTATCTGATTTATTTCAATAAAAATGTTAACATATTGCAAGTGTGCAATCCGAGTTTCCTATTTAATAGGTTAATTTACGTTCAACACACAGACTACCTGCTGACTTATGGTCAAAGTTACTTTATCCTTTTGGGAAAAGGGTCCCTAGGTCCTATTTTACTAACTATATCCCAAAGGCGTCCCATTGAGATGTATCTGAATAATTAAAAGGGTTCCCAACTAATAATTAAAGGTTGGCCAGACCATTAGCCATTAGAAGGGCTGGGGGTCAATCGCACTGGGTTTATTAGTTGATTGCAGTCAATGACTATTTTATGTAAGGTTATATATTTATTAAGAGTTATTATTATTATGTTGTTATCAAGGTTGTTATCAACAATATTAACATTTGATTGATTCTTTTAACTTGGTCTAAAGCCAAGTGTATTTATACCTCTTGGGACAGTACAAATAACATGATGTGTGCTATTCTACTCTCCAATAATATGCTTTCAACTAATTACTAATTCTAAATAAATATTTACATCAGATGAGTAGGTTAATAAATATAAATATAGAAATATGAATAGGAAAAATCTTTCATGCAACAATGCACAATGTGTGGCGCAGCCATTACAATTGATATAGAAAGATGGTCATTGGCATACATGATGGCGAAAGTCATTTGATAAAATTTGAAACTTTTGAAAAAATCACAAGTTTTCAAAATCAAAATACCCTTGGCAAAATTAAAATCAAAATCAAAATCAAAATCAAAATTCAAAATTCAAAATTCAAAATTCAAAATTCAAAATCAAAATCAAAAATCAAAATCAAAATCTAAATTCAAAATTGAAATCTAAATTCAAAATCAAAATCAAAATTCAAAAAATTGAAATAAAAGCACTTTTTATTAATTTTGAATTTCGAATTTTGATTACAAATTTTGATTTTGATTTTGATTTTTGATTTTGATTTCAAATTTCAATTTTGATTTTGATTTTTGATTTTTTCAAAACCTGTTAGGATATATTCGAAATGTTTGAACCCTAATCGTTGAAATTATTGTTGAAACAAAACTACTTCACCATCATGTATGGATAGGTTAAAGATTTACTATCTCACAATACTAAATTAATTGATTTAATTATTGAAAAACAGGGTTGACAAATGTGTGGTTCATTGGTGGTCCATTGATGATCCATTGAGTTTATTAGTGTAACATTTTAATCATATTTAGTATAGCATAGTGGAAGTTTGTTGTTACACGAAATGTTGTACAGAACTCATTGCTCCTGATACTTCGCCAGTGTATAGTTGCTACCTCTCTAAATTGGAGAACAAGTTCAGATCAAAATTCAAATCCAGTTTATCACTTACTTTTTATTGTAAAGCTACATTGCACAATATAAAAAATTAGTGTAACATTTCAAATTTCCACTATGCTATTTAGTATTTTATTAATGGCAATGGACCAATCAATTTTCCAACCTGTTGAAAAAAGATGTTAAATTCTACTATTGGAAGTTGGTATAAATAAAAATTTGACAGATACAAAATAGTGACTATATGGTGCATGTCACCTAAAGTCATCAAGAATTTATGGGTGACTTTAAAATGTATCTAGTCCCTTGATTTTTGTGTTACAAAAAAAAAGAAACCGTAAAAATGATAGATTAGAACTTCCTCTTTCAAAATTACAGTATACTTTTTTGATTTTTCAACTATGTACAAAGTTATTAAGGTTTAAAAATACACAAGTTTACTAGTATATTTCAA